GCGGAGACAAAAGCATCGTTTTAAGTCTTAAATCTGTCTACATATGAGTCATATTCTATAGGCATGAATTTGAAGGTATTTGTATACATGCATGTACATGTACTATGATTTAACGCTCAAGAGCTCAAATCTTGCTATATAGTGCCAATTAGGTTTATGTTGCACCATAAAATCATACAGAACAATGATAATTTTATGCTCATAAAAACTCTGAAACAAACTCCATTTCATGAAGGAAACACACACGTAAAAGGACAAAGGATTTTTCATCTGAAACATCAAAAGTTTCTGCTCCAATTTGTCGTCTAATACGACATTTAAGAGAATGCTTCTGAAAACTCCGGTACCCACAATGGAAGGAATAGGGGTGGATTCACTGTTTTTCAAACCGGGTATCTGCATCGGGAAAAAAAGCAACTTGATTACTATGTGTATGTTTCTACAACTTAGCAAATATTTTATTATAATTATTTTATGAAATCTTACCTAATTTTCATCAATTTCATACATGTTTATCCTAATTCATGAGAGATGAATCGCCCTTTGCCTCGCGTGTATGACAAGGCAGAATTATTAGAGGAAGAATCTTCATGTAGTCATTAATAAAACTTTAAACTTAAGATTTTATTAGCGCTGAAACTGACCGCCTGGTTTTCCAAAGCCGGAAACATTATATAAACATTTAGCTAGACAACACCCTCTAAAGGAGGCTACCGAATTTATGTAGGCACATTCAATGACAGTCAGTAATGTGTTAATAAACGCAAACATTTATAATAGTTTTATAGACTCGAAGACTATGTCATAATCCAAGCTCTTCATCTCCCCACGTTAGACCCCTGTTAAAATATATGTGCGTCTGTATATACGCATGTTTCTGTATACCAATACATACATAATAAAGGCTCATCAGCACACTCTGACTTTGTAATGCCGTGTGCGAAAGAAGCATACAAAACAAAGACAAATGCTAAAATATTAAAATCTTTAAATAAAAGTAGGTGACAATGACGTAATAATTTAGTGAAGAAATATCTGACAAAGCTTAAAATCTATGATTTAAGTTACGCCGGAAGGGTTCTCTCGGTTTTTTGTAGGTGTTGAAAACTGATATTTGTGAAGAAGGACAAGTGAGATGCAAAATTTTCTTTCCTTTTTTTTGTGACACATATAATACAAACATCAACTATGCATGTCCATGCAAAGAATGAATGGAAATGTCACTGATTGTTTTAAAGCACACTCAATGACTGAGTCATAACTCAAATAACATTTTCTGTGAACAAATGTGCAGACCATTTCGACGTGTCGCCAAATTTATATGAAATAATCTAGACCTGAAAACATTTCTAACATCTATTAACATATCTTAAGCAAAAAGTATATCTGCTACCATGACGGGACAGATAAATATTGATGTAAGCATAGTACATTTTACCACTGTAATTCTGATATTTTGAACCAACGACTTATGTATTCGAACGTATTGCTTTTTACTTTTCACATAGAAAAGAAAAATGCATGACAATGCAGACTATCGTCAACTCGTATTACAATCTCGCTGATTCAAACGGCATATAAAATTGAAGCACAGAATCAAGATCGATTCACATATAAACACAGAAAAATCACCATTTTACTTTTTTTACAAAGTACACGTTCACGTTGTCTATTACATCTTGCTTTTAACGATAAATTCATTTGCTAAATATTCAAAATTGTATTCCAAGATTAATTCATTTTTTACAAATCTGACACACACACACACACACACACACACACACACACATATATATATATATATATATATATATATATATATATATATATATATATATATATATATATATATATATATATATATATATATATATATATATATATATATATATATATATATATATATATATAGTCATCTCTGTTTCACATATAAAAATTATTACACATTTATTGCCTACATGAAAAAGGGCAGAAGAAATTGGATTGGGATGGTATTCAACAAATTGATGATTCATTTACATGGTCTAAAATAATATATATAATATGCTCGCAAATGCTAATATTAACCTCAAAATCCAAAAAACCGGCTTCGCATTCTACATATTAATTTTCGTTTGTATTGATTATCAATACAAGCTCAAGTTCAAGCACACATTTTGTCAGTTGTCAACACCTGTCTGTCCATTTCATTAACAACACCTGTCTGTCCATTTAATTGGCAACATATTGCCATATTTCTATATCGATATCGCGACACCTTGGGTTTAACAAATCCATAAAGTGATCCTCATTTCCCAAACACAAAATGTAATAAAGGTAATATACTCTCAATCCAAGACTTTTTGTTATTCTGAAACCATTTTAATTACGTATCATAACTTAATTTTCAACTGCTGATGAGACATCTTCCTACATTTCTTTTAAAACTGGAAAGTCATAATTCATGTATACTCCATGTTCTCTATGTATTCAAATACCTTAATCAGTTTGCAGTCGTCGCCTAAAACAAGCAAATTTCACGAAATTATTGAAATTATATTTCACGGTTTACATTATCGTGCAGATCGGTTTTCTAACGAACTTTTAAAACATTTGCATACACACGAGTTTGTAATGTGATAATGAGATGTTATGTTATTGGGTGTGAGACGTGTTCTTGATTCACAAGCAAAGACTATTCGTAATTTTAACAGACTTGCTACACCGGGTTAAGATTTCGGTTAGGTAGGTGAAATATTTGGATTGCTCGGTTTGCATCCTTCACCTTGTATTAATAATGATAAAGTCTTGTTTGGTGCAATAGACCATTTCATGAAGACTTCGGCGAACTTCGTAATTTGCTCGGAATTTTGATCACGTGGCGGGTGGTCAACTGACCGCAATATCCAATCGATAGCTTTTAGGCAAATAGTCTGGTGCACTGCTTAGTATGCTTCCTAGTATAAAATAGCGGAGTGCATTGCAGGGAGAATTCGAAGCAGGGGACCAGACTAGTGGTCAAAACAAGGCAAACTTCGTAATTTGCTCGGAATTTTGATCACATGGCGGGCGGTCAGATGACTGCAATATCCAATCGATAGCTGGTAGTCAAAACATGGCCGGACGCCTCAGCATCAGCATCAATTTTTCCAACTTTTTCAGCTTCGTTTATCAAGTTGAAAAATGCATATTCAACGGCTATGATGCCACAGATATTGACTAAATTTAATATTGGAACCATCCTGTCTTATTTTCTGGATACCAGGGTGGATTTTAAAGCCATACGAGAGAGTAGCTATAATTTTTTTTACATCTGGACATGTGCATGTGAGTATGGAAATGGTGTCGATGTTAAAAATTTAAAGGGACTCGGGTGGTTTTCGGATAATTACGGGAGCAACTCGGTTAAATCCGGTATGAAATGGGCTATATTTGGAAAAATACGCTCAGTGCCGTGTTAACATTATTAGGCAAAGCAATGCAGTGGGCCCCCTACAGGCCGTTCTATTCATTAACAATATGCTCAATATGATAACCCTAGAAGCGTGAGACCCTGGGCAACTGTCCAGTGTGCACACGCCTTAAGACGGCACTGTATATACTACCGTAATAATGCTGTTGAAACTTTAATGTGAAAATAATTAAAGTGCTAGTAACTTGAATTTTAATAGCTTACTAAACAACTCATTTTTAAAAACGAAAGTACACTCGACTTCCGAAAATACACTGGGCTATTGAAACTTTAATGTAGGCTCATATGTCATTTACTTATGTTCCGCATTTCTCTGCCGGGCTTAATTTTGAGTTAGAGACATGATACATTGCAGAGGCAAGAAAGAACCCACTGAAGCCACATATATCATTCGCCTTTATCTGTGGTAGGTCTCCTTTTGCAGCGTTATGAATCCTTTTACTCTCTGATTCTACTCTTTTCCATCTCTACGCTTGATGCTGTTCACTTCACGATCATGATTTTGTATAACATAGACTCTTTCATCGTATAATTTTATGTTTCTTTAAGTTTAAGAGATGTCTTTGGAATAAAAAAAATAAACTAAACCAATCTTGCAATGGAAATGGATTGAAAGATTTAAATATTTCTACTTATAATAACCTAACATATTATTTAATATAAATGTAAATTTCCTTATAAAATCATGAAATGCTAGCAATGTTCATACACATAAGTGACACACATACTTTATAATAGGATTTCACATATTTTCTCATTAGGTAGCTATATTTGAAGGAGTGAACTTCTGTGACTGGTTCAACACTTCATACGAGAAACGAGAATTCAGTAAAAGGACGCCCAACACAATTCCCAACAACTGTTATCTAACTAAAAAAAGACACTATGTCTCTATCACGAGCAACGAGCTAAATTACAAGTTTGAACTCTCATTACAAACGTAATGTGTTCGTTTTAACCAATATACTCTAGTTCATAGAATATAAAAAAACCACTATACATTTTATGCTCTAGACTGATACAATACATCGACCGTAATAATTGGTATGACCACCTTCATATTTTTTATTTTTGTATTCGCGTTTACTTTGTCATCTCTTATTTTAATTACGAATTATTTTATTGGTATTCTTTCATATTCATCTGAGTTTTTTTTTTCTGTTGTCTCCTTTTGTATACAATTTTGCTTAAAGAATGCTAATGTTATAGCTGACAGCAGTAAGTTTATATATATATATATATATATATATATATATATATATATATATATATATATATATATATATATATATAGATAGATAGATAGATAGATAGATAGATAGATAGATAGATAGATAGATAGATAGATAGATAGATAGATAGATAGATAGATAGATAGATAGATAGATAGATAGATAGATAGATAGATAGATACATAGATAGATACATAGATAGATAGATACATAGATAGATAGAAATGTAAATGTCTGTTTATTACTTTTTGGGGGTGTTTTTAAGGAAGAAATATATAAGTTGAATGTAATATTTGCATTGTTAAATCATTCTAAACCGCTCTGGTGGCCTAGTAGTAAGAGCGTCCGCCTCGGATGCGGGAGGTCGGAGGTTCGATCCCTTGTCGAGTCATACCTAAGACTTACAAAAATGCAACTAACAGCTGCCTTGAGTGACGCACAGCTTTAAGAGGTTAGAGTTAGGACTGGTCGACCTTGTGCCAGGAAAATGTATATATATATATATATATATATATATATATATATATATATATATATATATATATATATATATATATATATATATAACCGAGCATTGCATGTCTGGTGTCCGACAGGTGGGGAATATCACTTTGCATATTTAGCTGGACCAGGATGAAGCGACTTCAAACCTGTTTGTATGCTTCCTGTTTGACAAGGCTTCACCTGCCGTAATGTAGTGAGCCTTAAACATAGTGTAGACTTTCCAAGGTCGATAGTTACCTGCTATGAAGCAATAATAAAAATAACTAAACTAAACTGCGTTGGTGGCGTACTGTATATGATCACCTCTGATACGGAGCTTAAAGTTGTCATCTATGCTGTCTTTCCGTTGTGTCCGTATCGGTTGAGATACGAAATGCTACTCTTTGGTAATGAATAACTAGCGAGTGGGGATGTCTGATAGCTTCAACTTGCCGTCGGCTCAGTACAGAGCATGGATTTGTATTTGTCGCTGACAGCGGGGACCACGAACTCTTCCTTTAATCGTCCTTGTCTTCATTGGCTTCTCGACGGTGCGGTTTTGTGAATCTCGAATTAGCTGTTGAAGTCCAGTCTTACAGTCTCTTCAGCATAGTTGACTGGAACGCAGTTTAACCTGGACAAATGTTAGGCTTGATCTTAATAGAAACTGTCATAATCCTCATAGCGTCTGCAGTAGACATCTGCAGCGTACGGATAAGATGGATGTACACGTATCCTAGCATTAACTCTCTTAGATGCTTGTCTTGCGGTAGCGTGCCATTGCAGTAGGTGCTGACATGCACACGTGTATCTTTATCATAGCAGAATAACACGCTGGTCTCACAGCACCTTAGCTCGAGAAAATCCAGTTCCACTTGGGTTGGTGACCATCCCTGGTACAATGCAATTGAGATTGTTTTGCACTGCGAGATCTGAACTTGACACTGATACCTCAGCTCATTCCTTGTCCTCTAGTGACTTCTCGTTCTTGTACGAGATCATAGCTTCTAGTATTTCTACTTTAGCCGTATCGGAGGAGTCGCTAAATACCTTATCAACTTGATGGTCCGTTTTAGAAATGTATTTGCTGTAGATCATTACTGAGGACCATTGAGAAAGCAGTGTTTGAATGAATTGTTGTGAATAATGCAAACAAGATTCTTATAGTCATTAGCTTTTTTTTTGGTTCTTTGCTGTGTAAGATGCTTTTCGCAATATTATGCAATGGTGCTACTGAGTATAAATATCTTCTCTTGTGATATCTGATTCAATTATCGATAGAAAATAATTAACATAGTGTCCAGGCTTTTTTTGGATGGTTTGGTTTGATATGGTTTCTATAGACAGGGGTTTTTTCCCTGCTTTTTTACACTGGTTTTGTATGGTTTGGTGGTTTACGACACAACAACAGCATTGGACTTCATAATGCAGGAGTGACTGGAGAGTAAAGTACCTTGATGAAGGACACACTACACACTACAGTATCCAGAGTGGCTGATTCGATATCAGAATTGTAACCAGAAAACATTTCTGACGAGAATTTATCAAAATAACCACTAAGCCATTCCTGTTCCTGCATAACCTTAGTCGCCTCTCATGACGTTCATTCTAAAGTCCGCAGAAAATCTGAAGTATTTTAAAGGGTATGAGGCAAGGTTAGATATATTGCAACGAAAACGTTTCTTTTGATACATTTTGCATATGAAGAACACTATTTTTCAGACTCTTGCATACATCAGTATGATTAAATATTTTACATATAGTCCATTAACCAATATTTGTTATTAATTCCAATTTCTCGTCGTATCACAAAGGTAAACCATCGTCTATTGTCTTGTTGGAGAGTGACTGCTAAATAAGATTTAAAAAGTCTGAATATATCTGTAAAATTCTCAAACGATCACACTACTATCATATCAGCATTCAGTAATTATGCTGAAGTTGTTTTATAAGCGTCAGAATATCACTTCGGAGGAGTAAATTTAAACACAACTGTAACATCCATCGTTGTCTATTTTTGATCATATCTGTAATACACAAAATACTGGTGACAATGTAAAGTTCGTACGAGGTCATCTCGATGGGAAAAGCAAACGTAGGTAGGTCCTAATCAAGCTTGTTTATCTCGGGGTGGTTTTGTTTTAAAGTATCTTCCGAATGCAATATTTCTCCACATCTTCAACATTATATTATACTCCAAATAGAGGTCGCAATAATAATTACCATCATCAATAATTACAAGTGAGCTATGAGCTGGCATTCTGATTCTTTTTGCGTTTAGATGCACATTCGAGTGCTGTGGACTTGTAATGCCCATTAGATGGTGTCCATTTCGTTTGAACACTTCAATTATAAGGCCAAATCATGTAACATGACATTTATTGAATTTTTAAGTGGGTCCGAGGGTTGTATGCTTCACGTGTAGTTATATCATTTTTGCTGTACGGTGGCGTCTCAAAATATAATACAAGCTTTTGCTTATACTTGCTATAAATTAACGCACTTTCTTTGGTCATCTGGAGTTGACATAGGTTATATAAATCGTTCCCTGCACTAAGAGCAGGTGTGGCCGTCGAAAAGAATAATCTCCGCCTTTGGCACTAATGATTAAAAAGATTAAATTAAACTGGAAGTAACGGAGGCTTGTTTAAGTATGAAATTTCGCATGATGATGTGTCTATTATTACGAAGTATGATGTGTGTATTTAATGGAAGGGAAAGTAATTAGCCTGGAAAAAGCAATTATCATCGAGAAAGTAATTATCCTGGAAAAAAAAAAACTAGCTGGTCTCCGGAATGAATCGGCGTACATTGAGGTATGCTAGCGTTGGTCATCGAAACGTTTGTAAATGGTCTCATACACAAACGCTACGGTGCTAAGTTCTAGAATCTGAACGCCAAATGGTTAACATCAAACTGTTTGACACAGGAGAAAGGTCACATTGAAGACAAAGACGGAGCATAAAAAACAACAACACTAACAGAAATTATTATCATAATTTATGATACGTATTCTTTAAGAATCGTTTATCTTTGCATCTAATGTGAAAAAGCAGCAAACAAATGAGTGTTTGTTTCTTGACGTAAACGGTTCACAGTATTAAAACAGCACATTGATACAATGTTCCCAAAAACATGTATGTTCATTATGCAAACAAGCGGCATATGTAGTATCGTTTTTCTGATAGTGGTTCAAGACACTCCATGGGTGTCCGGTTTTCCATGGAAACACGAAAGCTGACGGTACCGAAAATATCATAAAATGACAATAAAAAACAGATTTATGTAAATTCATACTCCAAGCCGTTTTGATAAATCATACGTTGCCAGAATAACAAAGTTGCGACCATGCTTATTACGTTGATTTATTCGCGTCGTTCAATGAGTTACTCAGAAAAAGGAACCAATTTTGGGAGGCATTAAAAAACATTCTGAAGTATGCCAACTCAGTTGAGGCAAGACTTCGTAAGAATACGCCAGAAATGAGATGTAAGTTATAGTGGTATGGTAACTTAAAGCAATAAAACCATTCTCTCAAAAACAACCCTATGCAATAAAACTATATGATCACGCTACTTGAGAAATCTCAAAATGCGTTTGATCTATTGATAAAGCGAAGCGAGAGAGATTGTATACATTTACTGTAAAGACAATTTCCCGCGAAGGCCGTTACACAAAAAATCATTTTATATCGCCATAAAACCGAAGCTGAGTGAGGATTTTGTCCCTATTCCCTGATTTATATGGCTTTGTCTGATTCCAATCGCATAGTCATATATCAAAATACATTTAAATCTCACGTTATCCTATCCACTGTATATTACCTAAGAGCTGAGTGAACTTTTATCTAAATTGCAACTCTGCAATGCACGTGTAGAAGTTATTATTCGTCTGAGAACCTACACAGTAGGTGACCGATACAATCTTTTTAAGCCTTTCGAAAAACAATTAATAGTAATCTGATATTTTGCTCTGTTCAGATCTAAATAAATCGAATATTTCTTCGTAAAGAAAATATTACAAAATATGTCAAGATAGTCTTTGATACATATAGTTTAATATTGTCAAAATCTACACCAATATTAGACATTCTCATGTGATTCGGAGTCTGGAAAGAGTAAGATGTAACTCATGCTACTTTTTTAAGCCATGGTTTCGCACTTTCGTGAAGAAAATAGCATAAAAAGCGAACGATGTAACTCTTATTAGGTTCTAATAAGCCATGATTTTTTCACTTCCTTGAAGGCAATAGCAGCAATACTTTAACCACGATTGCATCTTCATACATTTATCATCCATCCATCCATCCATCCATCCATCCATCCATCCATCCATCCATCCATCCATCCATCCATCCATCCATCCATCCATCCATCCATCCATCCATCCATCCATCTATCCATCCATCCATCCATCCATCCATCCATCGTTAAAACATGTTGATATCCCTCTATATTACTCTATACTGACATACATGCAATATTCAATTAATTATTGATTTTTTTATATGGAGCTAGGTTTTTCATTTATACCGTTATAACCTAATGTGGAATAAAATATATCTTTATACCATTATAATTTTCCTAATATGACAATTCGACCTATATATATGGTTGTGAGTTTGTCATCTTCGAACTATTTGTATACTAGCGTTTCAAGAAAAAAATACGACCCTGATTTACTTACATTTTTTAAAATGTGAACGATAAAGAAATTATTTCGAATTAAAGTCACTTTAGCTAATCAAAATTGGAACACATGCGTATATAAGCATTCAAAAAGTCCACATTTAAATTTATGTGTTCTCTAATAACCTGCTACCAGAACCAATTTAGTTCTATATGTTCTAATAGATAAATCCAATAAATGTACTTTTTAGATATTATTCTGTAAAACATATTATTCACT